AACAGGGAAGGTATAGCTTACATTAATAAACTGCTAGTCGATTTCATGAATGAGATAAAATCTTTCGTCTGCGAGGAATTAAAAACTCAAAGGCAGTACGTGAATGACGCTGTTAGCTGCTTGCAAAGGGCGATAAACAAGCGCTCACGCTCGACCTCCGCTAAAAATAGCAAACAATCTAATGGGAGTCGCGACGTCGCGGAAGCACCCATGCATCATGGCCAAAAATAACCAGAGAAGTGTGGAACAATTAGAGATCTGGCAGTGGAATTGCCGCACTTTTCACAAACGGGCCGCAGCACTCCAGAGTTATATCAATGTGGCACCAATTAAACCCGACGTTATATGCTTGCAAGAAATTGGTGCCAGAATAGTAAAGCTTCAGGGTTATTATATTTTTCAGAACCCAAAATTATCCCCGCGTAGCGACGATGGCGAGCAAGATGATTGCGGCAACAGATGAGTACATAGGAACACTACAGATCAATCACCAAATTATCAGTTTATTCCCCCAAAAGAGAGGCAAAGCGAAGACTATAATAGTGAACCTATACAGTCCTCCAAAAGACAAAGGCGAAGACTTCAATGAGCTCCTTGCTGAGACGGTTAAAATCGCAGGCAACAAGGACCGCCTATTGGTTTTTGGGTGATTTTAACGCACCCAGCACCACATGGGGTTACCCAAAAGACTCGCCGAAGGGAACGCGTCTCGAACATGCTGCGTCTAGGCTGGGCCTGAGTTTAATAACTCTCCCAATTGCGCCCACGAGAGTGGGCAACAGCGTATGTAGAGACACGTTCCCGGACCTCACTTTCATTTTCAACCTCAAAGACGCATCCTGGACAAACCCGGAGGAAAATCTAGGAAGCGACCATTACATTATAAGCGTCTCCATATCGACACCCAAAATGCGTAGATTGATAGGCGACGTGGCGATCACAGATTGGACTGAGTTTAGGAAACGAGATCCTCCAGCCGACTCTGTACCGAACTCAATAGAGGCATGGTCGGAGTACATAAAGTCGGTACATGCCATCACTACGAAGAAAAATAGCCAGAACCGTAGAGACGCCAGCAGTAGACAGCCGTCTGCTACACCTATGGGAGAGCAGGCGCAGCCTACTAAAGCGTTGGAAACGTCAACGCCTGAATAGGACACTACTGCGTATAGGATCGCTGCTCTTGCAGAGGAAGCAAACGACTATGCCAGCAAATTGGCTACCGAGGGATGGGTCAAGTTCTGCAGTTCGCTTCAGAACACACTGAGCACCGCGAAAACTTGGTCCATCCTAAGAAATATTCTTGATCCAGACAAGTCCAAATCCACGACAAGCAGAACACTGCAGAAAATCGCAGAAACATTTCCGGGCACGGACGACGATCTCGTGAAAGCGCTCAAGGAGAGATATATTGGCGATAGTCTACCAAGTAACTCGGCTAATCACATGAGTTACAGTGGAGCTAGAAATGAGAAACTAGACGAGCCGATAACAAAGGAGGAGGTCTTTGCGGCAGCTCAGGCAGCCAAGAGGAACCCAGCCCCCGGTGAAGACCAAATTACGAATGCTATGATAAGAAACCTTAGCGACAAAGCCATCGAAGGCATGACAAAACAATTCAATGAAAACTACTGGCTCAAAGGAAAGGTCCCTGCAGAATGGAAAACCGCCAAAATTATAACCATTCCGAAACCCGAAAAAAAAGCCCTCCCTGCAGGCGCTCAGACCTATATCACTTACGTCATGTACGGGGAAGCTTTTCGAACGGGTCGTTCAAACTAGACTTCAGAATTTCATAGAGGACTGGGGGCTGTTTCCGGCCACCATGCTGGGCTTCCGCAGTGGTCTCTTAACACAGGACGCTTTCCTCCTGATACAAGAAGAGGTACTCAAGGGTGTTCCCAAAGGTGGAGAGCATTTGCTGCTTGCTCTAGACTTAAAGGGAGCTTTTGACAATATCTCTCATGAAGCTATACTCTCAGAGCTAAATATTATTGGTTGCGGGGAAAAGATATATAACTATATAAAAGATTTTCTCACCGATCGGGAGGCGACAATTGGTATCTCAAGCGTTAGGTCTGAGCCATTCCGAATGCCAAACAAGGGAACGCCTCAAGGAGCCATAATATCTCCTCTGTTGTTTAATATCGCCATGCGTCGACTCGCTCGGGCCTTGGATTGTGTACCCCAGCTAGGTTATACCCTCTATGCCGACGACATTACTTTGTGGGCCATACGGGGGTCCCTGGCCAGCAAAGAGCAGACTCTGCAAGAGGCGGCACTGGCTGTCAAAGCTTTGCCAGAACCAGTGGTCTCAGCTGCGCACACGAAAAATCGGAGGTGATCAGAATACACAGCAAACGTTACAAAAGTAACGGAAGAATAGAAATTGAAATCGAAAAGCAGAAAATTAAAGAAGTCACCGTCACCCGGATCCTGGGTTTCTGGGTTCAAAGCAACGGTAGGGCAAATCACACTATCGGTCTTCTTAAATCAGCAGCTAAACAAGTGGCTAGGATGATTCAGAGGATCACCTTCCACAAAAAAGGCATGAAAGAAAGTGATACTGTCCGATTAGTGCAGGCGCTCGTAATAAGCAGATTGACATACAGCTTGCCTTTCCACACGCTGAACAAGAGCGAGGAAGAGCAAGTAGATTCTATCATCAGAGGGGCTTACAAGGCAGCATTAGGCTTACCGATAAGCACTCCGACACAGAGGCTTCTCGAGATCGGCCTGCATAACACGTACGCTGAACTGAAAGCAGCAACATTGATCTCTCAGAGCAACCGCCTCAGCCAGACGAAGTCGGGAAGAGAGATACTGACGAGGTCGGGTATAACACCCCAACCCCAAAACTTGGACGAGGAGCTGGTGGACGTACCAGACCCAGTCCGATGACATATTTCGATCGCCCCTATCCCCAGGAACATGACCAAGGAGCGGCATCATGAAAGGCGAGAGGAGCGTGTAAAATGGATCAGAAAATTAGTTAGAGGCAATGAGAACGTGCTATACGTTGACGCTTCCAGGTATAACTGGAAGCGCTGCGTCGTCACCATGGTAAGCAGTGACACGAGAAGCATGGCGTCCAGCGCATCACTGTACACTACATCGATCACCAAGGCCGAGTGTTTCGCCATCGCATTGGCGATTAAAAGTCGAGAGTGCAGCGACGGCCAGACGTACATCACCATGCTCTCAGATTCGCAAGAGGCGTGCCGGCTATTCACGAAAGGCCGCCTCCCATTAAACATTTGCAAATTTTTAGGCGGCGAATTGAGCAACACTTATAGGTTAGTCTGGTGCCCTGGACATGCAGGCCTAGAGGGTAACGAGAGGGCGGACGCTCTAGCTCGAGGGCTCACGAACCGAGCGGAGCAGCAGCCTTTCTCGCTGTTACCACCACCCAGCAACGACGGCTTTCGCGAGGAGGAGGAAAACGACCCAGCTTGGATGGCTCCGCGAGACCTTCTTGCTCACCAGCGATACACGCGTCAGAAATATGGCGCCCCCCACAAATCTCTTAAAGGGGTAGACGCCATAGACCTCCGTAAAATTCAAACGGGAGTTTATCCAAATTTATTACGACTGCACAAAATTCATCCAACTTTGTATGGGCGCGATTGTCCGTGGTGTCGCGACTCGCCACCAACCCTTTACCATATCTCGTGGAGTTGTGCTAAACGGCCAAATGAACTTGATCGCTTACAGCGTATGTATAGAATAGAAAACTCTTTGGAGCAATGGGAGGCACTCCTTGCTAGCTCGGACCCGGAGGTGCGACTAGCACTCCTGAACCACGTCCGGCAGGCGGCGCAAGCCAGTGGAGCCTTGGACATGGGGCCCCACCCATCTAGTTCCTAAACCCCTTCTTTTTCAACCCAATAAAGTTATTTTTCACTCTATCTCTCTCTCTCCACAATACGTGAGATCTACGCTTTTTTTCATCTCTTCCACTTTCATAAAATTCTCTCTATCGCTCTCCAGGGCACCGGCATGTGCTGCCCACGGGAGGCGCTTCTCATCAATGCCGTCGCTACGCACTAGCCTTGTTGCGGTCATCTATACTGTGGCCGCGCCGCAGGAACGTTGGTTAAAGGTGATAGTCTTTCTTGGGGACCTTCGACGGAAAAATTTTGGTCTGTCTGTCTGTCTGTACATTTGTCTGTTTGTCCACCCTAGCGATGCCTCAAACGGCACCAAACGGCCTACCCCAATCGCAGCGCCCACCAATATTGCTCAAGGTTTAGCGTTTATAGTGGTGAAATTGTCAATTAAAAAGCAAATATTGCGCTATCTGAGGCGCAATAACCACATGTCAATGTTTTGTATGCCTGCCTTTATACAAGAAGAGACAGACACAAGTAACTCTAAGGACTGTAGCGTTTAAAGCGCTGCGCTGACAGTGCAACGCGATGCTCAAGATGGTGTTTCCAACGCTTTACTACGACGTGACGGTGGTGGCACCTGCCCGTCGCTTTGGATTCTACACGTTATCACCTCTGTGACTGGCGCGCATCCTTCTCCGCGGTCGCGCACGCCTTTGTTTTCGAAGATAACTGCCAGATGGCACTCATGTATAACGTGCCTAGATGCGCTAGTTCGCCTCCGTTACACGCTTGAGGCACTATAACGCAGCGTCTTCAGAATACCATTCACTGATTTTCTTGCGCAGAACATCAAATGAACGTTTTGTTCACTCTCTCCAGGCGCAAGACTATCGTCTTTCGACGACATTTACAGGGTAACATGCATATTCGGGCAAATTTAGCAAGCGCAGGTTTACTGCAAATAATATTGCTCTTAAAAATGCTAGCCTTGCTTCGTAAAGCATTCGAATACTTTGCTATTTGATTCATTGATTCGCCCTTTTGGCAGGAATGTGACTTATTTGTTGTTTATTTCCCCATGAGTGCGCTTGAGCTCGGCAGGAGGACTATAACGGCATATGTGTAAGTAGAAATAAACAACGTAGGGAGAAGAAAGGAAACGCTTACCGGTGACTTGATGTGCAAGAAGAACAAGTACGAGGAATCACTTTCATTGTCAACTGGAATGAACCCGGAATAAGCTTCCAGCTTGTCGCAAGGTGCCGGCAAACACACGCGGCTGCTTTGTTTAATCTCGTTCAGTCTTTCTGGCCTTACATTGTCACTCGTCGCTCGTAACACAAAATCGTCCATGTTCACTCTAAAGGAGGTCAGAATAAAATGAAATTAACTTTGTGCACTAATTATTGAGTTTCTATGTCCCACCGAAAAAAACATATTATGATCACAGGGGGACGTCGTTGTGAAGGGCTGCGTGAACATGAACCACCTAGGGTTTTTCAACGTACACGCACATCTTAGCACATGGTCTTTTATAGCATTTCCTCCTCACTGAAATGCAGCTGCCGCAGCAGGAAATAAATTTGTCGTGTTCTTTATTTTGTATTAAAAATTGTTTTGAATCTGTAAAAGGCCTATTTTACTCTTTACCTTGACAGTAATGGTTTTGTTGTGTTGTATGTAGATCTCTAAATTATTCATTCAGGGCTAAAATAAATCAATGTTTTTTTTAAATATACCATGGTGACTAACGGAACAGGAATTAAGGCTTCAGATATAGAACAATACTGATAGAATTGCTGCTGAACTGGTGTGACTATAAATTCTGATTCATTCATTCACAAAACTTTATTTGTGTTCTGAAGCACGATCTTTTCAGACCGAGGCGGGCCGCGTACACGTCGGTAACGTTAAGCCGAGCCTTGTGGCGTCATCGTGGACCTTCTGGACTGCTTCGACTAAAAAAACACACATATACAGGCGTAATGTATGGGGAAAACTCACGCTGTGAGGTGTCATACTGTGTGGCAGAATCGAAGAATCGCGGTGGTTGATACACCATGTGACCGGTGTGACACCCACCAGTTTATTTATTTATTTATTTATTTAGTTATTTATTTATTTATTTATTTATGATACCTTACAAGCTCAATGAGAGCATTGAGTAAGGGGGGTACAAACTTCAAAGATTAATAGGACGGTCATCAATAACATGGAATACACAGAAAATAACACAACATTGTGACAAAGCGTGCCTAGTCATTGACACTCAAACAAATGTAATACGCGAGTGTTTACAATATGCAGAAAGCTTGAATAACAAGAAATTAAAGGTACATGAACGAAACACAATAAAGAAATTTGGAAGACGTAGGTATAGAATTCAAGTGAGCAGCAACGGTGGTGCAACTGAGCGACAAAAACTGGGAGAATAACAAGAACTAGGAGAACAATGGCAATAACAAAAAAAAAAAGAAACCAAAGAGAAATCGGAAGGCCGAGGTGTACAACATACACGCGCATTTTCCAAACACACATACTGCTAGCCGTACGAAGGCGTTTACCAATATAAATTGCAAGACAACGGTGGGTACAGCAAAAACTAAAGAGAACCAAAGAGAAGTGTGAAACTAGGTAAGTGGCACAGCTGCAGCTACAAACATCAGTGAAGTTAGAGCGATTAGTGCGATGAAAAATGATTACACACATGTTCGCGAAAAGAATCTGGATCGGTGATGGAGGCGATGCAGTCGGGAAGATCGTTCCATAGTGATATGGCCTTAGGAAGCACTGATAAGTTGAATGCCTTCGTTTTGCCGTAAATGCGAGTGAAACTAAGGTGATTGTGCAGGCGTCTGGACATGCGCAAAGGTGCTGTTAGGGGTAGCGTAGAACGTCTTGTGCTGTGAATATATTTATGCAGCAAACATAACAGTGCAACAGAGCGACGAACGTGCCATGGAGAAATAGAATGTTCTTAATTTAATGTTGTTACGCTGCAATGAGTGCTATAATTGCGAGATATAAACCGGGCTGCTCTGTTTTGTATGGACTCCAGCATTGTGGTTAGATAATCTTGGAAAGGGGACCAGACTGAAGATGCAAATTCCAGCTGGGGGCGTACACAAGTGAAATAGGCCAGTTTACGGATGCTTGTTGGAGACTTTCGCAGATTACGACGGAGATAACCTACTGTTTTTGAGGCTTTCGCGCAAATAACACTAATGTGTGCCGTCCATGAAAGATTGGGTGTTAGAATGACGCCTAAGTATTTGTAAGAAGAGCACTGCACTATTGTATCATTTTTAATAGAGTAGGAATAATTGGAGTTTTTGTGTTTACGACTGAAGGTCATAGCACGGCACTTGCGAAGCCATTGTGAAGAGGTGAACCGTAATTAATGGTCATAATCAGTCACTGCATTGAGAAAGCGTGCAGCTTGGTGGGTGTGCGTCTTCCCTTATGGATGCATAGTGGCACTTAGCTATTAAATGCGAAGCATTTCTTAGCAAACTTCACCAACTTTGAGCCTGCCTATCTATCTATCTATCTATCTATCTATCTATCTATCTATCTATCTATCTATCTATCTATCTATCTATCTATCTATCTATCTATCTATCTATCTATCTATCTATCTATCTATCTATCTATCTATCTATCTATCTATCTATCTATCTATCTATCTATCTATCTATCTATCTATCTATCTATCTATCTATCTATCTATCTATCTATCTATCTATCTATCTATCTATCTATCTATCTATCTATCTATCTATCTATCGATCTATCTATCTATCTATCTATCTATCTATCTATCTATCTATCTATCTATCTATCTTATCTATCTATCATCTATCTATCATCTATCATCTATCTATCATCTATCATCTATCTATCTATCATCTATCTATCTATCATCTATCTATCATCTATCTATCTATCAGCTATCTATCTATCATCTATCTATCTATCATATATCTATCTATCATCTATCTATCATCTATCATCTATCTATCATCTATCATCTATCATCTATCTATCTATCATCTATCTATCATCTATCTATCTATCATCTATCTATCTATCATCTATCTATCATCTATATATCATCTATCTATCATCTATCTATCTATCATCTATCTATCATCTATCTATCTATCATCTATCTATCATCTATCTATCTATATCTATCTATCTATCATCTATCTATCTATCATCTATCTATCATCTATCTATCTATCTATCTATCTATCATCTATCTATCATCTGTCTATCATCTATCTATCATCTATCTATCTGTCTATCTATCTATCTATCTATCTATCTATCTATCTATCTATCTATCTATCTATCTATCTATCTATCTATCTATCTATCTATCTATCTATCTATCTATCTATCTATCTATCTATCTATCTATCTCTCTGTCTGTCTGTCTGTCTGTCTGTCTGTCTGTCTGTCTGTCTGTCTGTCCACCTATGACTTTTAGCTCTCCTGGCCGTTTCGATAATGGTATCGATACCGAAATTGGTATGGAATAACATTATGATGGTCTGACGAGCATAAGTGACTATATAGTCACCAGATGAAAATCGTGAAATGTATGTCACAAATGTCATAATTTACATTTTATGGTCTTGCTGCTTTTGTATTAGTTTCGTTGGCATGGCATATTGCAAAACTGGTATGGTATGACATGACTGCATGGCGAATATAGGTGATGGGTCCTGACATGGAAATCATGACATGCGTGCATGTACGAACATGACTACATGTCATGCTCATGGTGTGCTGGTTTCGCTAGCTTCACATACATCAAATTTGGTATTACGTGACGTTAATGGAAGATGAATGACCGGTGCGAACATGATGATCATCACATGCTCGTCAAGTACGAACATCACTACAAGCTATGCTCATGACGCGTTCGTGGTCGTTTCGCTCGCTTCACATATACCGAGTTTGGTAATACGGGACGTGATTGGATGACGAATGTATATGACCTGTGTATGAGAAGTGCAACAGTGACGCCGTCTCAAGCTGTTACGCCCCACTCAACGAAGGGTTGATCGCAAAGATACCGTCGAGTTCTTCGTAACCTGGCCACAGAAACTGCCTGGCCCACCTGCAGGACAGCGTCGTGCTTTTTGTTTCCGACCGGCCACCGATTCCAGTGGCAGGTTGAGTGGCCCTTGTTAAGTTTGGGCAGACGCCATTGTGCGTAAGCCGGTCTACTGGGGAGGCTCTCAATCCCTTCGGTGCCTAGATGCCAGACGCTGTCGGAAGATTTGAGCAATTACCCAGACAATGTGGCAAGCAAAGGCGAGTTCCAGACTTTCAAATGCGGACCCTTTCGTCGTTTCTTCGAGTAGAAGCGGTGACTGATGCCCTCGGCGACTCATCTGGCGGTGGGGAAGCTATTGTCACCGGCGCCAAAGCTGACAGGGGAGCGGCGCTCTTTTAATCCTCAATCACGTAGCCGACCGGCCGGCTGCCTATGCCTGCCAGGCATTGTCCCTGCTAGCCAGCGAATGAGACGTCGTGTCGCCACGACATCGTAAACAGTTCCAGAGAGGACCACAAAGACAGCCTCTTCCTTGGAAGAGACCGTGGCGGCCGCCGCAAATCGCCCCGCTAATTAAGCGAACAAATCGGCGGGCCCTTTGATGTATGCTGTCAGGATCGTGGGACCTCTCGACTAGCGGCACACACACGACGAGGAAGAGCCCTGCTGGCGCCACCTTGCAGTGCAGTGTTCACGACTCAATATTGGACGTTCACGTGGACCGTGCATGCTCGTCCCCCTCACCTGCTGTGCGTGTGTGATTAATGTTCCACTCGGAGAGGAGGAGCCCGACAGGGCTTAAAACGACGCCGCAGAGTTCTGGACGTCGCTCTGAACTACGTAACAATTCAACCACCATGCTCGTGGTTTGTGAAACCACTAACCCTTCTTTTCTGTATATATGTGTATATAGTGCCATAAACCTGTTTGTTTTTCGTATCCTCTTCTTGTCAGCGTTCGTTTCTTCCACCCAGTTACACCACGCTACCACAAGAAACCTGGTAGACCCCCATTCGCAACAACTGGTGGCAGCGGTGGGATGCCATCTTCAGCGACCTTCCTTCCGACCCGGAACACCCTGCTCTCAGTGCCCTGCCCCTCTACTCCTGTTCTCTCAATGGAATTCGCCACAAGACGAACTGCCTGGTCAAACGTAACAACATATACCAAGTTTGGTAATACGTGACGCAAACTGACGCCGAAGACAAATGACACGTCCAAACATGATAATCATGCATGCAAGTCATGTAAAGCAAGAATACATGCTACGCTCATAGTGCGCCAGCGGT